TTCTTGATTTGATTGTCAGCTTGGACATTATTGGCGTGTAAAAATGCTATTGATTTTTGTACATTGATTTGTATGCTGAAATTTTCTGAAGTTGTTTATTAGTTCTAGGAGCCTTTAGATAGAGACTGTGGAGTTTTCTAGGTATAGAATTATATCATCTGTGAAGAGAGATAGTTTGACTTTCTCTCTGCCTATTTGGATACCTTTTATTTCTTTCTCTTGCCTGATTGCTCTGGCTATGTTGTATAGGAGTGGTGAGAGTGGGTATCCCTGTCTTGTGCTGGTTCTCAAGGGGAATGCTTCCAACTTTTGCACATTCAGTATGATGTTGGCTGTGGGTTTGTCATAGATGACTCTTATTATTTTGAGGTATGTTCCTTTAATGGGTAGTCTGTTGAGGGTTTTTACATGAAAGATGATGCATTTTGGTTTTGTATATTGAACCTATCTTCCATCACATGAATAAAGCCTACTTGGTTGTGGTAAATTAGCTTTCTGTTTGTTAGTATTTTGGATTCTAAACTAGTATTTTGTTGAAGATTTTTGCATCTATGTTCATCAGGGATATTGATCTGAAGTTTTCTTTTTCATTGTGTCTCTGCCAGGTTTTGGTATCCAACTGATACTGACCTCATAGAATGAGTTAGGGAGGAGTCCCTCCTTAATTTTTTTGGAATGTTTTTAGTATGATTGGTACCACATCTTTTTACATCTGGTAGAATTTGGCTATGAATTCATCTAGTCTAGGGCTTTTTCTGGTTTCTAGGGATTTTTTTATTACTAATTTAATTTCAGAATTTTTTATTGGTCTTTCCAAGATTTCAACTTTCCTCGTTCAGTCTTGGTAGGTTGTGTGTCAATGTTATGCTTGTGGGCATCATTGCAGGTGGGATGGGTCTCTTCACAGCAAACACTTGGGTCTTGCTGCTTTATCCAACTTGCCTTTCTGTGCCTTCTAAGTGGAATGTTTACACCTTTACATTCACATTTACCAAAATTGTAAATATGTTTACACCATTCATTGACCTTTACATATAAGGTCAATATTGTCATGTAAGGATTTAATCCTGTCATTGTGTTGTTAGCTGGCTATTATGTAGACTTGATTGAATAGTTGCTTTACAGTGTCAGTGGGCAATGTACCTGAGTGTGTTTTTGTGGTGGCAGGCATAAGTCTTTCATTTCCATGTGTAGCATCCTCTTCAGGATCTCTCATAAGACAAGTCTGGTGGTAATAAATTCCCTTGGCATTTGCCTGTCTGAAAAGGACTTTATTTCTCTTTCTTATGAAGTTTGGTTTGGCTGGACAGGAAATTCTTGGTTGGAATTCCTTTTATTTTCTTTTTTAAAGACATAATCTTGCTCTGTTGCTCAGGCTGAAGTGCAGTGGTATGATGTCTGCTCACTGTAGCCTCAACATTCTGGAATCAAGTGATCCTCCCACCTCAGCATCCTAAGTAGCTGGGACTACAGGTAAAAGCCACCACGCTTGGCTAATTTTCTATATTTTGTAGAGACATTGGTCTCATCTAGTCGCCCAAGCTAGTCCCAAATTTCTGGGCTCAAGTGCTCCTCCTGCCTTGGCCTCCCAATGTGTTGGGATTACAGGCATGAGCTACCACACCCAACCTAGAGTTTTTTTCATTAAGGATGCTGAATATAGGGTACTAATCTATTCTGGCTCATAAAGTCTCTGCTGAAAGGCTTGCTGTTAGCATGACAGGGTTCTCTTTGTACCTGACTTGCCCTTTCTTCCTAGTTGCCTTTAAGATTTTTTTCTTTCATGTTGACCTTGGAGAATCTGATGACTGTGTGTCTTGGGAATGGTTGTTCATTGTCTAGTGTATCTTGAAGGGGTTCTATGAATTTTTTAAATTTGCATGTTAAACTCTCTAGCAAGGTTGGGGAAATATTTTGTGGACAACATCCTCAAATATGTTTTCCAAGCTGCTTCCTCTCTCTCCAGCTCTTTCAGAAATGCCAATAAGTTGTTTGTTTTGTCTCTTTACATAATCTCACATTTCTCAGAGGTTTTGTTCATGTTTAAATTTTTAAAAAACTTTTTGTCTGCCTGTGTTGGTTTGAAGAAGCAGTCTTTAAGCTCTGAGATTCTTGTATTCTGTTATTAATACTTCTGATTTCATTATGAAATTCCTGTAGTGAATTTTTCATTTCTAGAAGTTTCATTTGATGCCTTGTTAAAATTGATATGCAATCTTTCAACTCTTGGATTGTTTTACTGGTTTTCTTAGATTGAGTTTCAATCTTCTATGTCTTTTTGAGCTTCCTTGCTATCCAGATTCTGAATTTTATGTCTGTCATTTTAGCCACTTCAATTTGTTAAGAACGATTGCTGGGAGCTAGTGTGATTGTCTGAAGGTAAAAAGATACCCTGACTTTTAGAGTTGCCAGAATTATTGTGCTGGTTCTTTTTCATCTGTGTGGGCTGATGTTCCTTTCATCTTTGAAGTCATTATCCTTTGGATGGGGCTTTTTGCTTTTATATTTTTTGATGCCCTGAAAAGTTTGACTTGATATAAGTTGGGTGTAGTTGATTCACTTCATTTCTGGATGCTTTCAGGGGGCCAGAGCTCAGGTCAGCACTCCTGAGCTGCATGCTTCAACTCTGGGGTGCTGGGACTAGGTCTGCAGTTTTGCTTTCTGGCCCGTCAATGTCAAGCACCTGCTATGCTTGTGGGGCCAAGGCGTTTCTAAACTACTGGAGGCAATATTCCAATGGGGGCCGCCAGTAAATCACTCCAGCAGTGTGGCAGGGGGCCATGGAAGAGTGCACTACAGTGGGAGGGTAGATTGTAGGTGAGTGAACATCAACAGGGTAGTGGGCAGCCATAGGTGAGTGCACATCAACAGGGTGGCAGGGCTGAGGGTATGTGCACAGTGGTGTGGCAGCTGTGCAGGTATCTTTATGATGATTTGTTTCCTTTCAGGTTTATACCAGTAGTGGGATTGCTGGATTGAATGGCGGTTTTATTTTTAGTTCTTTGAAAAACTTCTATACTGTTTTCCATAAATGTTGTACCGATTGACATTCTCACAGTGTATAAATGTTCTATTTTCTCCACATCTGTATTAGTCTGTTTTGATGCTGCTCATAAAGGCATACCCAAGATTAGGCAATTTACAAAAGAAAGAGGTTTAATTGGACTTACAGTTCTACATGGGTGGGGAAGCCTCACAATTATGGCAGAAGACAAGGAGGAGCAAGTCATGTCTTACATGGATGGCAGCAAGCAACAAGAGCTTGTACAGGAAAATTCCCCCTTATAACCATCAGATCTCATGAGATTTACTCACTATCATGAGAACAGCATGAGAAAGACCTGCCCCATGATTCAGTTACCTCCCACCAGGTCCCTCCCAGAACATGTGGGAATTCAAGATGAGATTTGCATGTGGACGCAACCAAACCATGTCAACATCTTGCCGACATCTGTTATTTTTTGACTTTTTAAGAATTGTCTTTCTGACTGGTGTCTAATGGCATCTCACTGCAGTTTTAATTTGTATTTCTCTAATGATTAGTGATGTTGAGCAGTTTTTCATATATTTGTTGGCTGGTTGTGTTTTCTTTCAAATAATGTCTGTTTATGTCCTTTGCCATTTTTTAATGGGGTTATTTGTTTTCTTTTTGTTATTTGAATTTCTTGTAGATTCTGAATGTTTGCACTTTGTTGGATGCCTAGTTTGCAGATATTCTTTTCCCAGTCTGTACCTCATCTGTTTACTACATTGATTAGCTTTATTGTTGTTGTTGTTGTTTTTGCCATGCAGAAGCTTTTTAGTTTAATTTTCATTTGTCTATTTTTGTTTTTATTGCATTTGCTTCTGGGGACTTGAACATAAATTATTTACCTAGACCAACGTCGAGGAGAGTTTTTTTAAGGATTTTAGGATTTTAATAGCTCCATATCTTCCTTTTGGGTCTTTAATCCATCTTGAGTTAATTTTTGTATTTGGTGAGAGATATGGGTCCAGTTTCATTTTTCTGCATATGGCTATGCCATTTCCCCAGCACCATATATTGAATAGGATGAGTGTGTAACTTTTGAGTCTCGTTCTGTTGCCAGGCTAAAGTCCAGTGGCCTGATGTCAGCTCACTGCAAACTCCGCCTCCTGGATTCAAGTGATTCTCCTACCTCAGCCTCCTGAGTAGCTGGGAATGTAAGGAGGGGAGCCTACCCAGTTCCCAGAGCTCAGAGGTTCTTGGCCTCTCTTACCCAGAAGAATGGGGAAAGGGGCCCTGGAGGCACGGTGAGCTTACTGTTTGAAAAAATATGGACCCAAAGAGTTTTGTGGAAGAATGATTTATTAGATAGGCAGAGAGAGAGAGAGAGAGATAGAGAGAGAGAGAGAGAGAGAGAGAGAGAGAGAGAGAGAGAGAGAGAGAAGGCAGTTCCCACCCTGTGGGAGGAGAGCCCAGAGAGATAAATCTGTTTTAGGTAGGAGCAGCTGAAGTTTTAACACTTGAGTTATTCCCTCCCCATTCATGTTCTTGTCCAATGAGAAGAGTTCTTTCAAACTTCCTCTGGAGTGATTGATCTTTGACTCTGGTACCAGATTGGCTACTTGGTCCACATCTCTGAGTTACAGAGGTCCTTTCTGGGGGATTTTGGGACAAAGAGCCCCACAAAGAGCCCCAGGTGGCTTTCCCTACCTGTCCCGTGTTGGGGAAAGCCAGACTAAGAACTTTAAATTTGAAACCGCTCTGGTCTCCAGATGGAGGTGTGGAGCCCGGAAATTCCTGCCTTTGAAACCACGACCCTTGCAGACCCAGGAAGAGAAGTTTTTTTTGTTTTTTTGTTTGTTTGTTTTTGTTTTTGTTTTTAAACACAGTCCCTCAGGACTACAGGCATGCATCACCACGCCCAGCTAATTTTTTGTATTTTTAGTAGTGACAGGTTTCACCATGTTTGCCAGGATGGTCTCAATCTCTTGACCTTGTGATCTGCCTGCCTCAGCTTCCCAAAGTGCTATAATTACAGGCATGAGCCACTGTGTCTAGCCGAGTATGTAACTTTCAATTTTTTTCCTTAGTGTAAGTAAGATCTTTGAGATTTACCCTAGTTGTTGAGTGTATCAATAGCTCATACCTTTTAATTGCTGAGTAGTGCTCCATGGTATTGGTGTACATAGCTTGTTTAATTCTTTACCTATTAAGAGACATACTGGTTGTTTCCAGTTTTTGACTTATTGAAAAAGCTGCTATGAGCAATCATTTACTGTTTTTTGCATGAATATAAGTTTTCATTTCTCTGGTATAAATGCCCAAAAATGCAATGGCTGAACTGTACATTTCATTAAGAAGAAATCCTGCTGAACTATTTTCTGGTATGTACTATTTTAGATTCCTACCAGCAGTGTCTGAGACATCAGTTTCTTCATATGCTCATCAGCATTTGGTATTGTCACTATTTTTGTTCTAGGTGTTCTAATAGTTGTGTAGTGATATCTTATTGTGGTCTTAATTTGCATTTTTCTAATGGCTACGTCAATTATCCTCCCCTGTGCTTATTTCTTATCAGTGTAACCTCCTCTGTGAAGTGTCTTTTCATGTCTTTTGCTCATTTTCTCATTGGATTTCTTAAATTTGAGTTTTCAGACTTCTGTATACATTCTAGATATGAAGCCTTTGCCAGATATGTGGTCTGCAAATGTTTTTCCTACTCTATAGTTCATCCTGTCTTCTTAACAGGGTCTAATATGAAGCAAAAGTTGTTAATTTTCAAAAAATAAAGATCTTGGAGGTTTTTAATATCAATAATGTAGAACTACGTCACTCTTCTAAATTATTGCCTTGTATTCAGTTGTATGGATGCATAACATTTAATCAGTTCATAAATAAAGGGCTGATTTATTCTAAGTACTTTATTTGTATTTAATAACTTACAATTAAAAACAATGCTGCAATGACTATCTGTGGATATTCAACTTTGTATATGTGTGCAAATATGTCCTTAGGATAAATTCCTGAAAGTGGTATTGACTGGGTCAAACTGTGAGAGGAGAGAGAAAGAAATCAACTAGAGAGAAAGAAATCAACTAGGCAGATAGTTAGGGCAAGAGTCCTCCCCAGAATTCCCTTATAACAAAAAGCAGCCTAAGAGGCCATTTCTCTTTTAGGAAAGAGCAGCCTGAGTGATCAAGCTGCAAACACAGATAAGGAAGGCAAGTTCTAACACAGAACGGGGCCTCCTGTGTGACACACATACAGTGGGCCCCAGTGAGCACAGTCCTTTCCCTTCTTGGAAATACTCAGACAAGGAGGCTTGCACAGGGGGAGTGCCTGCAGCAGCACGGATAAGAAGAGCTACCCTGGATCAGGCACTTCCAAGTTGGAGGATTCTGTCCCCTGCCTTCTTTACACATGCTCAGTAGGAAGAGATAAGCAACAGGGCATTAACTCAGTGTAAGGAGCCCCCAGGTGCGCTAGAAAGGGAGGGGTGGGGACTGTCAGAAATTCGGCACCTTATGTAAATAAAGCACCCCTCCCCACCAGCTTGTCTTCGTTTCACTGTGAAACGGCAACTCATCTTTCTGGGACCCCTTTCTTCTTCTCCAGAGAACTTTCTTCCTTTCGCTTATTAAACTTCTGCTCTAACCTCACCTTTGGAGTGTCCACATCCTTGATTTCCTCCTCTGTGAGACCAAGAACCATGAGGGACACCTCAGACAACAAGGCTGGCTTCAAAATGGTGTACCTATTTTAGTTAGTCATCAACTACATCGCAACAGTTTACATCTGCACTAGCAGGACAGGAGAATGCCTCTTACTACATTCTCATTAGCATTATATGTTAGGACATTTAAAAAACAAACAACTTTGAAACCTGAGAGGTTAAAAAAAATCTCAAGGTTTTCAATCTTATTTCTTTGATTATGAGTAAAGCATAGATTCATATGTAAGCCCCTCCTTCCACTGGTCATGTATTATTTGTTCCTGTCATTTGACTATTGTTTTTATTGACTCATTGATCATTTTCTTACTGACATTCTAAGAGCTTTCAATGCTCTGCACCCTGGTTCAGCCCATAGGTACCCGGCAGCCAAGCATCATCTTCACCTAATACCACGGTGGTGGCCTGCAGGCTGGAAGTGGCCGGGCACTGCCTGCTCCTCGGCCTGCTTTTCCTTCTGCTGACCATGGGCCCTGCCCTGAGCTGGAACAACCCTGTGGGAACGTAAGACCGACTTACATACTGTATACAAATTTGGAAAAACTGTGGTGAGCTGCGAGGTCTATGAGTCCTCTGAACACAGTATATACTAAGAGGTTCCTGTGGCTGGGATAATAATTTAGATTATATGGAACTTGGCCTGAGGAAATTAAAGGAGCCTGGGAAGCACCATGGCTTTATCTCTTTCTTCTATTATTATAAGAGGTACTCCAGGGATTCCCGTAGCACGGATGGATTGATTACTACTGTGCTTCTCCACACTATCACCTTTGTAGTCCATTAACTGTTCCTTAGCAATGGGCAATATTCTCCTCCACTGTATTCTGAGTATCCTCCATTTTCCCCTTATAACCAAAGATTCACTAACTCCTCCTCCCCCAGGCTTTGAGTTTGAGTTCACAGAATTGCAGAATACCGGCCGTGGTACAACTTCTGGTTTTGGCAGTGCTTTTGCAAGACAACAAGGATATGAAAATTCAGAAACAGGGATCTGGCCTGGCTTGGTAACTGGTGGAATATTAGGATATTTGTTTGGCAGCAACGCTCTTCTCAGACTCATGGTACTACCCATCCTAACCTCCATCCTACTCTGTCATGTAGACTAGTCCTGCTTCCTCACTTCTCTGTAGAGGCTTAGGCAGCTATTCGGTGTGTTCAAGCTCAGCCACGAAAACCAGAACTGCATCAGCATATGGTGGTACCAGAAGACAATAAAGTAGAAAGTTGAAGTCAAACATCGGATGCCAAAATTTTGGATTTTTCATCATTTTCTTATTAGAAAAAGGGCTACCTGTTATTAGTTGGGGAAAGGGTGGTGTTTTGTCCTGCATAGCTTTTTGTATTCTATTATTTGAGGCTAAGAGTTGATATATGACAAAATACTTATGTGTTGTATGTTAGTATAACATACAGATGTATATTGCAGTTTTTGAAAGTGATCATTACTGTGGAATGCTAAGCATATATTGTTTAATGTCTAAAATTTGTGATGCTGAGCATTAAGAATGAAGGCATTGTATTGATAGAAACTAAGTACAGAAAATTTCAGTCTTAGGTGGTTGTAGCTGATGAGTTATACCTCATAGAGACAATAATATTCTAATTGGTATTATTATTAAATATATTCAGTGTTTGCTGTTCTTCAAACATTTAAATCAAGCTTTGGACTACTAATTGTGCTAATTTGTGAGATCTGATCACTTTTGAGCTCTAAAGCTTTGAATCCTTCAGTGATGGTGATGGTTTTCTGATAAATAAATATTACTGTCTCTAGGAAAAATGTAGAAAATAAGCATCTAGAAGGTTGTTGTGAATGCTGACAAAAATGCTCAAAACCTCTATATTTCTTTAGTTCATAAGAGGAAAAGCTCAAATTTTTCAACAAAGGTCTTTTAATAACAAAAGCATGTAGTTTTCTGTGGAATCTCAAATATTGTTGTAACAGTCTGTTTCAATCTTACATTAAAAAGAAAAAATAAAAACAAAACAACAAAAAAGAGCTTTCATTGTTAAAGAATAAAACAATCCCTGTCCACAAGCATTTTTTTCCTGTTTTGTCTTGTTTATAGTATTTTCTTTTTTTACTCTTTTATTTTAAATTAATTTTTAAAATTTCAGTAGGTTTTTTCAGGGAGCAGGTGGTGTTTGGTTACATGAATAACTTCTTTAGTGGTGATTTGTGAGATTTTGGTGCACCTATCACCTGAGCAGTGTATACTGTACCCAATGTGTAGTCTTTTATCCCTCACCTCCCCATGCCACCCTTTCCCCAGAGTCCCCAAAGTCCATTGTATCATTCTTATGCCTTTGTGCCTTCAACGCTTAGCTCTTACATATGAATGAGAGCATGTGAGGTATGGTTTTCCATTCCTGAGTTACTTCACTTAGAATAATAGTCTCCAGTTCCATCCAGGTTGCCACAAATGCCATTATTTCATTCTTTTTATGGCTGAGTAATATTCCATGGTGTAGATATACCACATTTTCTTTATCCACTCATCAATTGATGGGCAATTGGGCTGGTTTCACATTTTTGCAATAGAAATTGTGCTGCTATAAACATGCATGTGTAAGTACCTTTTTCATATAATGACTTTTTATCCCCTCTGGATAGATGCCCAGGAGTGGGATTGCTAGATCAAATGGCAGATCTCCTTTTAGTTCTTTAAGAAATCTTAACACTGTATTCCATAATGGTTGTACTACTTTTCATTACCATCAACAGTGTAAAAGTGTTCCCTTTTCACCAATCTATAACAGTATCTACTATTTTTTGATTTTTTTAATCTTGGCCATTCTTACAGGAGTAAGGTAGTATCTCATTGTGGTTTTGATTTGTATTTCCCTGATAATTAATGATGTTGAGCATTTTTCTGTATGTTAGCCATCTGTATATCTTCTTTTGAGAATTGTCTGTTCATGTCCTTAGCTCACTTTTTGATGGGATTGTTTGTTTTTTTCTTGATGATTTGTTTGTGTTTGTTGTAGATTCTGGATATTCATCCTTTGTCGGTGCACAGATTGTGAAGATTTTTTTCCCACTCTGTGAGTTGTCTGTATACTCTGGTGACTGTTCCTTTTGCTGTCCAGAAACTTTTTAGTTTCATGAAGTCCCATCTATTTATCTTTGTTTTTGTTTCATTTGCTTTTCAGTTCTTGGTCATGAAGTCTGCCTAAGCCAGTGTTTAGAATGATTTTTCTGATGTTGTCTTCCAGAATTTTTATGATTTCGGGTCTTAGATTTAAGTCTTTGATCCATCTTGAGTTAATTTTTATATAAGGTGTGGGAAGGGGATCCAGTTTTATTCTCTTACATGTGGCTTGCCAGTTACCCCAGCACCATTTGTTGAATAGGGTGTCATTTCCCCACTTGATGTTTTTGTTTGCTTTGTCAAATATCAGTTGGCTCTAAGTATTTGGGTTTTATTTCTGAGTTCTCTATTCTCTTCCACTGGTCTATTTTCCTGTTTTTATACCTGTACCATTCTGTTTCGGTGACTATGGCCTTATAGTATAGTTTGAAGTTTTATGATGCCTTCAGATTTTTTTTTTCTTAGTGTTGCTTTGGCTATGTGGGTTCCAGGTGAATTTTAGGATTGTTTTTCTAGTTCTGTGAAGAGTAATGGTGGAATTTTGATGGGAATTGCATTGAATTTGTAGATTGCTTTTGGCAGTATGGTCATTTTCACAATATTGATTCTACCTATCATGAGCATAGGATGGCCATTGGATTTGATTCTCAGCTTAGACACTGTGGGTGTATAGCAGAGCTACTGATTTGTGTACATTAATTTTGTATTCTGAAATTTTGCTGAATTCACTTACTAATTCCAGGAGCTTTTTGGATGAGTCTTTAGGATTTTCCAGGTATACAATCATATCATCATCAACCACTGACAATTTGACTTTCTCTTTACTGTTTTAGATGCCCATTATTTCTTTCTCTTGCCTAATTGCTCTGGCTAGGACTTCCAGTACTATGTAGATGTAGAATAGAAGTGGTGATTGTGGGCATCCTTGTTGATATGGTTTTGTTGTGTCCCCATCCAAATCGTATCTTGAATTGTAGCTCCCATAATTTGCACATGTTGTGGGAGAGACCCAGTAGGGGATAATTGAATCATGGGGGCAATTTCCCCTATACTGTTCTCATGGTCATGAATGAGTATCACAAGATCTGATGGTTTCATGTGGGGTTTCCACTTTCTCTTGACTCTCATTCTCTCTTGCCTGCTGCCATGTAAGACATACCTTCCACCATGATTGTGAGGGCTCCCAAGCCACATGAAACTGTAAGTCCATTAAACCTTTTTTTCTTTGTAAATTACCCAGTCTTGGATATGTCTTTATCAGCAGTATGAAAATGGACAAGGACAGTATATTGGAACTGGTAGAGTGGGGTGCTGTTGTAAAGATACCCCAAAATGTGGAAGTGGCTTTGGAACTGGGTAACAAGCAGAAGTTAGAACAGTTTGGAGGGCTGAGGAGAAGGCAGGAAAATGTGGGAAAGTTTGGAACTTTCTAGAGACTTGTTGAATGGCTTTGACCAAAATGTTGATAATGGTATAGCCGATGAAATCCAAGCTGAGGTGGCTTCATATGGAGATGAGGAACTTGTTAAGTAAAGGTGACTCTTGCTATGTTTTAACGAAGAGACTGGTAACATTTTGTCCTTGACCTAGAGATTTGCAGAACTTTGAACTTAAGAGAGATGATTTAGGGTATCTGGTGGAATAAATTTCTAAGCAGCAACGTGTTCAAGAGGTGACTTGGGTGCTGTTAAAAGTATTCAGTTTTAAAAGTAAAACAGAGCATAAGAGTTCAGAAAATTTGCAGGCTGACAATGAAATAGAAAAGAAAAACCCATTTTCTGAGAAGAAATTCAAGCTGGCTGCAGAATTTCATAAGTAATGAGGGGCCAAATGTTAATTATCAAAACCATGGGGAAAATGTCTCCAGGGCACGTCAGAGATCTTTGTGGCAGCCCCTCTCATCACAGGTCTGGAGACCTTGGAGGAGAAAATGGTTTTTTGGGCAGGGCCCTCCTGCTGTGTGCAGCCTAGGGACTTGGTTCCATGAATCCCAGTGGCTCTAAGGATGTCTAAAAGGGGCCAAGGTACAACTCAGGTTGTGGCTTCAGAGGGTGCAAACCCCAAACCTTGGTAGTTTCCATGTGGTGTATAGCCTGTGGGTGCACAGAAGCCAAGAATTGAGGTTTAGGAACCTTTGCCTAGATTTTAGAGGATGTATGAAAACATCTGGATGTCCAGGCAGAAGTTTGCTGCAGGGGTGGAGCCCTCATGGATAATCTCTGCTAGGGCAGTGTGGAAGGGAAATGTGGATTGTGAACCCCCACACAGAGTCCCCATTGGGGGACTTCACTACCTAGTGAAGTTGTGAGAAGACTGCCACCATCCTCCAGTCCCCAGAATGGTAGATACACTGACAGCTTGCACCGTGCACCTGGAAAAGCCACAGACACTCAATACCAGCCTGTGAAAACA